AATAGGGTTAGAAACAATAACAAAAATGAAGTTCTAATTCTTAAAAAAAGGCAACAATGGAAAATTATATTTAAACTAAAAAGATGAAGAAAGAAAAAAAAAAGAAAAGAAAAATCTATAGGGAAAATGTTGAAATTAAAAAACAAAAACAAAGCAGTATATATATCTTGCTGAATATTTTCTGGGCTACAGGTGATCTTCTGGGATGTGAGATGTTAATCGCAATGTTGATATAGCTATACCAGATGGAGACTGGAGGCCTCTGCTGACTTCTGAAACCCCACAGGGTGGAGAGCCTAATTCTCTCCTCAGCCCACATAAAAGGCACTTTAAACTGCTAACCTCGGCTAAGCAGAATCTTTCCTAGCAAAGCACTTGTCACTGGGATCACTCCTAAAGTGGCTATCCACTTACCCAGTGTGCCAAAACCAATCTCACTCTATGCCCCTGAGGCCCAAGGCTGTAAGGCATCTTAGTCTGCACCTTTAGGCTGCTCAATCACTACATTACTCGCCCAAGGTCTCCCTCCTGATCCTTGCTCTGTGACCCTGAGGGTGGAGCCTGCCTGGGTAGTTCTCCCACATTGGCTCCACACAGCCCACAGCCGAACACTGTTAGCTCTGTCTGGCTCAGTGGCTCAGTCTGGGGCCCTAGACAACGCTTAAAGTCCTCCACAGTCTTGCCCAAGTTCTCCCAAGGTAGTTCACAGGTAGGGCCTTTGCAATCTCACTGCTGCACTTATAGCTGCCAGCGGGATTAGACTAGGGTGACCAGACGTCCCGAGTCCCAATTTTTAACAATTTGTCCTGCATCCTGCGTTTTAAAACAGACCCGATTTGGGGGAAGAATGCACAAAGGGTCAGGAGAACAGTAAGGGAATATACGGTTTTCAGCTGCCATGTGGCTATTTCACCAGGATATGAGTTTTATATTATTTTTGTTAATTTTATACTGTTGAACTGTAATAATAACAATTGTTGAGAAGTGATTATCGAGAACTGCTTATCAAAGTTTGCATTGTTGTCAGGCCCCGCCCCCCGTCACTGGTGTCCCGCTTTACCAATGTTAAAATCTGGTCACCTTCGATTAGACTGCACGAACACACACGCCCAATTGCCAGTTCTCCACTACTATTGTCCTCCTCATGGGGTCCAGAAGTCTCTTGCTGATTCCTTGTGTTCCTGAAGGGATGTTTCTGGGCACATCCCATCAGCCAGAGATGCCTGGAGTCTTCTCTCCCCAGTCTCACCATGCCCGGTTGCAAGGAAGCTGTTACTCCGCTGCCATCTTGCTCATCCCCCCCTTCTAACTTTTTTTTTTTTTTTTTTTTGAGACAAGAGTCTCACTCTGTCATACTGGGGTAAAGTTCTCTGATGTCATCATAGCTCACTGCAACCTCAAACCTCTGGGCTCAAGTGATCCTCCTGCCTTAGCTTCCTAAGGAGCTGGGACTACGGTCTTAGACCACCACACCCAGATAAAACTTGAAATATTTTGAAAATCAATTGTGCAGTAGTAAATGCAATGATGACTCTCCAGAAGAAGAAATTTTATTTTTTTATTTTTATTTTTTGAGATAGTCTCACTTTGTCACCCTTGGTAGAGTGCTGTGGTGTCATGCCTCACAGTAACCTCAAACTTGGGCTTTAACTGTCCTCTTGCGTCAGCCTCCCAAGTAGCTGGGACTGTAGGCTCCCACCACAGCACTCAGCGGGTTTTGTTTTGTTTTAAAAGATAGGGTTGGCTCAGTGCCTGTGGCTCAAACAGCTAAGGCACCAGCCACATACCCCTGAGCTGGCGGGTTCGAATCCAGCCTGGACCCGCCAAACAACAATGACGGCTACAACCAAAAAAAAAATAGCCAGACATTGTGCCTGGCGCCTGTAGTCCCAGCTACTTGGGAGGCAGAGGCAGGAGACTCACTTGAGTCCAGGAGTTGGAGGTTGCTGTGATGCCACGGTACTTTACCCAGGGTGACAGCTTAAGGCTCTGTCTCAAAAAAAAAAAAAAGAGATAGGGTCTAGCTCTTGCTCAGGCTGATTTCAAACTACTGACCTCAGGCAATCTACTCACCTCCGATTTCCATAGTGCTAGGATTGCAGGCATGAGTCGTGAGCCCGGCCCAGGAGAAAAATTTTAATACTTTGAAACTTAAGCTCTAATAAAAAAAATTTTTTTTAATTTTTGAACAGAGAAATAGGACAGAGAAACCTTCAAAAGACTTTTTAAGTCAGGCACAGTGGCTCACACTTATAATCCCCTTGGGAGGCTGAGGCAGGAGAATTGCTTGAGGCCAGGCATTCCAGGCCAGCCTGGGTAGCGTATTGAGACCCCATTTCTACAAAAAATAGGAAAAATAGCTGACGTGGTGACATGTGCCTGTTGTCACAGCTACTCAGGAAGCTGAGGCAAGAAGATGGCTTAAGCTCAGGAGTTTGAGGTTGCTGTAAGCTATGATGCCACTGCACTCCAGCCCAGGTGAGACCCTGTCTCAAAAAAAAGAAAGTTAATTCATTTGGATAATTTCTGGATGAAAGAATAGAAGTAAAAACTCAGAGAGAAAAAGGAATAATGTAAATTTTTTACTATTAAAGAAATTGTTAGTGTAGTTTTTATTTCTTGAGACAGAGTCTCATTCTGTCCCCAGACTGAAGTATAATAGTGTGATCACAGGTCATCGCAACCTCCAACTCCTGAGCTTAGGCCATCTTCCTGCCTCAGCTTCCTAAGTAGCTGGGACTAGATGCATGCACCACCACTCCTGGCTAATTTTTTGTTTTTGTGGAGACAGGGTCTCTCTTTGTGCCCTGGGCTAGTCACTCATGGCCTCAAATGATTCTCCTACCTTGGCCTCCCAAAGTGCTGGAATTACAGGTATGAGCCACTGTGCCCAGCCTATGTAGTTTAAAATGGATCATAGGATATAAAATCACTAGAGTAACTAGAGTGCATTAAACAAATTCAGTACTTAGGATATGCCAGATATTATATCCTGTGTGATTATTTTAACTTATGCTAACAAGTTTTCATTTTTTATTTATTTTTTTGAGACAGTCTCATTTGTCACCCTTGGTAGAGTGCTGTGGTATCAAAGCTCACAGCAACCTCAAACTCTTGGGCTCAAGTGATTCTCTTGTCTCAGCCTCCCAAGTACCTGGGACTACAGGCACCTACCACAGCTGGCTATTTTTAGAGATAGGGTCTTGCTCTTACTCAGGCTGGTCTCGAACCTGGCAGGCAATCCACTGCCTCAGCCTCCCAGAGTGCTAGGATTACAGACATGAGCCACCTCACCCGGCTCTGAAGCAAGAGTTTGAGGTTGCAGTGAGCTATGATGATGCCACTGTACTCTAGCCTGCCTTAAAGGGAAACTATCTCAAAAAAACTCACCAACTTGTGTCAAGTCCACTGTTACCAGCATTTCTCAAGCAGGTTTTGTGTTTGTTTTTTGTTTTTTTTTTTTTTTTGAGACAGAGTCTCACTTTGTTGTCTTCAGTAGAGTGCGAAGGTGTCATAGCTCATAGCAACTTCTAACTCTTGGGCTCAAGCAGTTCTCTTGCCTCCATCTCCCAAGTAGCTGGGACTACTGGTATCTGCCACAACGCCCAGCTATTTTTAGAAATGGGACCTTGCTCTGACTCAGGCTGGTCTCTAACCTGTGAGCTCAGGCAGTCCACCCACCTCAACTTCCCAGAGTGCTAGGATTATAGGTATGAGCCACCTCGCCTGGTCCCTGAAAAGTTTTTAGATGTCACCTGAAAATACAACGGGGTACCTAGATTTTAAAAAAAAAAATATTAGGAGGTGTATGAACAAACAAATTTGAAAACCAGGTCTTGGACCACTTACCCTGCTTGCTTATAAATTTAGTCTTGAAAAATTCATTTTTTATAACTTCAGACTTAAATTACAGAAGCTAGGTTCTAGAACACACAGCATCTCATCATTGAAAGACTCCAGTTTCCTCCTTGCTTTATACCCAGATCTGTGGTTAGCGCTGTCGCACATCTGTGTAGAATTGTGGGCACATTGCTCCGCTCTCGAGATGTCAGTTTTCCCCTAATTTGCCTTCCTGACGGGTAGCCTCTTTATTGCGTTTCCCAGGATGAAGAAGCAGTGATCTCCCAGATTTCAGACATTTCTAATAGGGATGGCCACGCTACTGATGAGGAGAAACTGGCATCCACATCGTGTGGTCAGAAACCAGCTGGGGCCGAGGTGAAAGGTGAGCCAGAGGAAGACCTGGAGTACTTTGAGTGTTCCAATGTTCCTGTGTCTGCCATAAATCATGCGTTTTCATCCTCAGAAGCAGGTATGGAAGCATATCTTCATCTTTCTAATGCATATAAACCTAGATGCCTGAAAGCCTAATGAAGCAGGGAGCGCCTTAGAGGGATTAAAGAATTGGGTCACTTCAAGGACAGATTTAGGGTGCTCATCCACGCTCTGCTTCTTTACCTAGAAAAGAGATGGGAAGAAGTACCAGGGACGTGGGATAAGTGGCAGCATGTGCAGGAGACCCTGATGTGAAGGACCGTTGGAGTTTCTTTGTAAATTAACATGGCCTTTGTTCTGAGTGCTTTAGGTTTATTATTATAACTCAGCACTCCTCACGAGGGGTTCTTTCCTGCATTCTTTAGAGAAACAAAGTGAGGCGCAGAAGTTAAGTAACATAATCAAGGTCATTTGCCCAGTGTAGGAGAGACACCGGATATCTTTTTCCTCACCCATTGTAAGATCTGTGGCTGAAACATCTGTAACAAAAGACAGATCAAGGAGAGGAAAGCACAATGATATATTTTATGTGACACAAGAGACTTCAGAAATGAAAATCCAAAGAATCAGAGAAAACTTTTATTTTTATTTTTTTTTTTGAGACAGAGTCTCACTTTGTAGAGTGCCGTGGCATCACTGCTCACAGTGACCTCCAGCTCTTGGGCTCAAGTGATCCCACAGCCTCTCAAGTAGCTGGGACTACAGGCACCTGCCACCACACCCAGTTATTTTTTTAGAGACAGGGTCTCGCTCTTGCTCAGGCTGGTCTCAAACCTGTGAGCTCAGAGCAATCCACCTGCCTTGGCCTCTCATAGTGCTAGGATTACAGGCATGAGCCACCATGCCTGGTTTTAAAAAAACTATTTTTTGTGGACAGTTGTGTAGAAGTCTGATTGGAGGACAGAAGGGTATGATCTGGTGGTGATAAACTGGGAGAAACTTAGCAAGGCTTGTTTGTTCAGATTAATCTGGTATCTCTGTGTCTTCCAGGATAAGAACATTCTCTTCCTTCAGGTATAGGGAGGAAGGAGCCCTCTGGAATGAAGGTCTTATGACCTATTTTCAGAGGAAGGTCATAAGATCCCTCTGTGACCTGCCATAGTGGGGACATCAGGAGAAGGGCAGAGACCTTCCTGCTTCTACTGTTTCCTCAAATGACAAGGTGCTATATTTTGGGATAGTGTGTCTGAACCCCATCACTAGTAAATGGTAGAACTACATCTGCATCTTAGCAGGTCTGGCCCCACAGTGCCAATGTGAAGAGATCACTTTTTACTCCACTAGGCTACTGCAGATGTTCCTGTCACAGACGGGGTAGGTTGAAGCTGACCAAGGCACTTTAAAATCCTTCTTAACATTCTAATGAAGAGCCCAGACTAACCGGGGCTGAAGCCTCTTAATTTTGGACTCATCAAATAATTCTACACAAATGTGAGCATCACTCTTCTGCTCAAAAACTTTCAAAATCTTTCAGCCTCTTCTAGGTCCCAAGTTACACATTGTTGCCTTAAACTTATAAGTTTAGAACCATGTTCCTGACTACATTAAACATTATTAAAAATTTAGATCTTAAGCAGCATAATGTATGAAGTTTATGTGATTTTGATGTTTAGAATTTCAAAACTCAGGATCTACCATTATATCAGAGAAGAAAGTTGAAAGTCAGGACTTAGAGCAAGTTATTTTTCCCCTGGCCGCCTCCTTATCCTCAGGTTTCAGTCTCCCATCTATAAAATATATGTATTAGGAATTATTCCTGATTTTTCCCAAGGCCACCGTTTTTGCTGGCATCTTTCCCAAAGGCCTGTTTCACCATTCCATTTGATGACCCTGCTACCACGTTGCTTAGGGTTAATCCTGTATGCTTAAACCTACTCATTTCTTTAGTTTGAAGTGTCTGTCTTTGCCGCCTCCTGGCAAGTCCCCCACTCATCTTAGCCTCCCTGCCATTCAGCACGGAGTGCAATGTGTCATTCATAGAAAAGTAACTACTACAAGCTTCCTGAGGTTAGGGACTATGAGCAGGTCATCTTTGAAGTCCTGATCTGAGTACATGGTAAATATTTGTTGAATTA